TGTTTCACTAATTAAGACACTCACAATATTTTAGGTGGGGCTGCAAACACGATGATGTTATAAGAAAAACCTTTTAAATTGAAGGGAAGTCTATGTTCTACCATGGCTTAATAATGATTTTGAAACAAGGAATCAACTAAAATACATAAATATAATAAACAGATACAATAGATGTTGCAAATGTTTTTTTTTTTGTCTATAATTGTCTTAAAGCTTCTTCAAACTGCCTGCTCCATGTACACCATAACTGACTTAGTTTTCATGTAACTTATGAACACTCCTGTAAGTGGTTCATTTTTAATTTCTGTGAAAAATCCAACTTCTATAATAGAGTTACAATATTAAAAAGTGCTTCTCAAAAGCACATAGATAACAATGTATCGCTAAAACATTAGCTTGTTGCCTCTTCTTTAATTCATCGTCCACCTAAAGCAAAAAAAAAAAAAAAAACACCTTATTGCCTTTTCAAATCTAAGTTTACACATCAAATGTACTTATGTAATGCACTGAGAACCTATTTAAAAGGGCCCCAGAACACAAGGAAAAGTTGCTGCTTAGGACTTTTTAATGAGTGTTCAGACAAGGCTGTGCCTGACAAAATATTTCTAAGTCAGACAGCAGCATTTGACAGTTCATTTCAGTCTGGCTTGTTGAGAAAGATATCAAGTCAATGTTATTTTAAAATAATATTCCCTAAAGTGGATAAGCTTTGCAGTGTGCATCCTACTTAAAGCAAAACATGTCAGATAGCTCGAGGTAGCGGAAGTCTGAGTGACTGCAAGGCAGCTTTGTTGTTGAGGTATACTCGGGGGGGGGGATAAGAGTGTGAAAAGGAAAATTAATACAGTCACTGTTAGCAAATGGCTCTGCAAAGCCCTTGTAATACAGGTGCGATGCTTCCCTTGAGCAGAAAAGCACCAATCACTTTATTTGCCATGTGTCTGTATATAAAAAGTGTAGCGCTCTCCCAACATCAATCCACAGCACCATGCATCTTACATAGAACAAAAACACTTATCATGTCTGAGTATGAATGAATGTAACTAATGCTCGTGTGTCCCAATTACACCCCCAGAAAGAGCAGAGTAAGCTTGTCTGAGGCTCGCAGTCAGCAGAAGGCCGGCAGCTTCACTCAGTGTCCCGGCTTTGGCCGGCAGTGCAGCGGCGGTGGGACGTGTACGCTCAGGAGGACAGACGGGCCGGGGTCACGGCGGTCAGGCTTCAGAGGCTCTGCGACGATGCAGTCAGGTCTGCCGCCAATGCAGCTCAGGAAAGACTTATCGCCACCTTCCAGGAGGCGGAAAGGGCCCCCATAGGGTGGTTTCAGTGGGCTCTGCTGTGCATCATTCTGGATGAGTGCTCCACCGTCTGCGTGTCAGCTGGAACTGAGGACTCGTGTGGACTAAGTTGGGAAGTAGGCATGAGTAATAAGGCCTTACCTAGTATGGCGGACCATTGGGGGGAAGGGTGGTGGTTCCGGAATGAAGTCTCTGTGTACTCAAAGTATTTTCCCATAAACCAGTGCTGCCGAATAGCCCTGTAGGTCAGCCATAAAGTCACCCTCGGAAAACAATTGTGCCAGTTATTGTCTTTCAGGCTGGCTGTCAGGGAAGAATTCCTGGAGCAGTAGAAATGTTCATGCAGGCCATTGGGCTACGACCGATAGACAATAGTGTGATGGACCTTCATCCTGAGGCTCTTGGCAATTTCTGTTCCTATGTAAAGTCAGAAAATATACCAGATTGTGTGCCAAACTGGGCCACCATGTCACTAAAGAAAGCCTGGGTCATGTGCGAAGTTGCAGTCGGCGCAGGAGGTACAGCAACTTGTTATCTGGTGGTTCTGTCCACCATGGTGAGGAAGTCAGCCATTGGAAGGAGGGACAGAGTCATATATCAGTTTCATGGTCAAGACATGCTGAAGTATCTCAATCTGTGCCAGGAATGCTTTGACATGGTGGTGGATCTTTGCTCTCTTTATTGAGTGTAGGCAGGGGTGCAGTTGCACAAATCTTTGCTGAGGCCATACCATACAGGGATCAGCAGAGATCAACAATCATGAAGCTTTGCTTCCTGGCGCAAAAGGCTATCAACAGCATTACAAACCTGCTGTCTCCAGCTCACAGACACAACTGACCAAGGATGCCAGGGAAGACCTGCCATCGCTGGCAAACGTAATGCCTGCCAACCACAGGATTTTCACCACCATTTGGTAAGCTTGGACCTCAGGCTCTGAAACTTGGTCAGCACCAAACCTAGGTGGACTACATCAACACCTACCTAGGAAAGGCAGTCTGCCATGGTGTTATTCTTACCCTCAACATGCTAGATGCCAAAGTGAATTGTAAGATGCAAACCAGATGTTCCTGCTGACAGGTTGACTAAGGCTCTGATACTGTGAAGCATCAACCTAGCAGAAAATGGAAGCAGTGGATAGTGAGATACAGTCCAGGAAACTCAAGCTTGAAGGTATTGTACTTCCACTCACTGATGCTGGCTACAGAAAGGAAAGTGACTGCTGGGTACTGTTGACTAGCTGTTCATAAATGGACTCAACAGTATGATTGGAAGCATCAGTCATGAGGGCAACCCAGCTAACAATTTTTCATTGTAGGAATGTTTACCCAATGTTCCTATTAATGTATGAAAAACAAGCATTAAAAGTTTTCCTAATGTTCCCAGAAAGTTATCCCACTTAGACTAATAACACAAAAACAAATGAAGGGCGTTCTAGAGCAGCGGGGAACGCTGTCGCTTTACACATCCACAAGCTCAAGACTGGATAGTGCACACAGTAGCATGCACTTATAGCACTGATATAAAATATATTTTTTTTTAATAAAACAATGTTTTTCAACATTAGTTATGTTAAAAGGACATTCAGGTAATAATGTTAAAGTTCTGGGGATGTTCCCTGCTAACTGGGAACCAGCAAATCTGGGAATGGTTGCGCTGGCATTATTGCATACTTGAGACGAACTGATAATGAATGTTCACCATCTCTAAAAACTCCTGGAAGACCATTAATCATTTGTGTTAGCAGGAACTTAGTGACACCAGCCACTTTTAATAGCAGGGATATCACTATATCTTTGGCAATATGACAGTCAAGGAAGTCAATGGACTGTAGTCCAAAGTGGCACTTAGCAAACTTTATGATTTGTCCATTTTGGCTGACACGTTAGAAAAAGGTCCTGAATTGTGACAGATGTTATGCCCTAGAGGAGTTGGCCATGAGCATATCATCCAGAGAGAAAAAAGTAGAGTGAGGGCCTTATAAGATAGAATCCATTAGCTATTGCAACGTCTGTGTGGAACTTAAAGAGGCCAAATGCAGTGATAACCACTGTCTTGGGAATTTCCTCAGGGTGAACAGGAACTTGCTAGTTCCTATGGATAAGAGGTCCACCTTACTGGGGAGATATGTATGTGTAAGACTGAATAATGGTCGGGAGTGGGGCATTGCTGAGGCGGCAGTAATTATCACATGGCGAATGGCCTTCCTCTGGCGATTTACAGCAAGTTTCTCCATGTTTGCAAATTCAGCCCTCATGATGATGAGTTTTTCTGGGTCGAGATTATGGACATGTGCATGTGGGCCTATTATAACAATGTGGTGTCTGGTCCCAAGGGTAGAGAAAGCAGGCAGGTGAACTAACAAGTAGCAAAAATTACACTCAATAGATCTGTTGTGGGATAGACACTGAGCATGCAGGAAAAACGAGTCAAAGTCTCTCACATTGACTAGACAACAGTGCTGAATGTCATCAGAATGGCCAGTGGCACACAGAAAATCTGCTCCGAGTCATCCATTGGAGCAAAATGGCATCTGTCGTTCCCATTAGGTCTGTATTTGCTGCCATTGGTAGCTTGCAGAGGGGCCCATTGGGCCGTCCAATGTCACTCATTCTATTATATTCACAATCATTGGACGTTACAACCCCTCCCAATGTCACTCATCCCTGTGGTATTCACAATCATCGGACTTTACAACCCCTCCCAATGTCACTCATCCTGTGGTATTCACAATCATCGGACGTTACAACCCCTCCCAATGTCACTCATCCTGTGGTATTCACAATCATTGGACGTTACAACTCCTCCCAATGTCACTCATCCTGTGGTATTCACAATCATCAGACGTTACAACTCCTCCCAATGTCACTCATCCACAAAATAAGCTGTTTCCTCCCTCCCTCCCTTACTATGTCTTTTCGTATATCTTTTACAAATTACTATGATGTGCAATAACTGGTCAGTTTCTCTGAATGTGGAATACCTTGACACTATGTGCAATATTCATTTTATCACATAAAATACTGGCTCTGTGAGCGAATACTGTGAGTACAAAATGCACCTTATCAAGCACTTCCACTGAACAGCATCTTAGCTGATTTATCTTTCACAGTGAAGTAGTCACATTGCAAACTAGTTACACAGATATATACAGTAGTGTATAGAAAACATTATATATGTTTCTCCTAAAGAGTTGCAGTATATTTGACATCTATTCTTTGATATTGTATTTTGCTTATTTAATTTTATTTAATTTTGTTTGTAATATATTATATTTTTCATCTTGTTATATAGTGTACACCGTGTCCAATGGTGTCTCTGTCTATCTGTGCAGTTGTAGCAGAAGCAATTTCCCTCCATCGTCAAGAAAGTGACTCTTCATAGTATAACTTACTTTACTGTAAGTGGCATGAGTTGGATTGTTAAATATGTTAAATATAATAGCAATCGTATAAAACTGAAAGCTAAGTTAAGTGAGTTCTTTATAACAACCCCATAGATTAGCTTTTTGAGTGAAAAAAACCTTACGTATATCTGGTAAAGAGAAAAAAAAACTGTATTAAAGCATCTTCTCAGATGTACCAGGTTGAATTACTGGGTACAATTCTCGGAGTAATGAGTAATTCTTAAGCATGGAGTGTGAGTCTTGAGATGACTTCAGGACAGATTCACAGCTCTGTCACACTGGGTATCTTTCAGTCGTACCTGTGGCCTCATCCCTGAATTCTTGAGACGCATGCTGGCTCTGGTGCACCCACTCCCCGTTGCACTTAAAAAATATCTGCAGGGCAGGTGCGGCCTGGCAGCGTAGCTTGATGGGGTTGCTCTTCACGATATAAGCATCATCCGGCTCCTGCAGGAACTGAGGGAGCATTGCGGGGGCGGAGGCCAGCAGCGTGGGGGGGGTGTCCTTGGTGCCCCCTAAAACACAAACAGACACACACAAACATCTCCTTGTTAGGGCTAAACAACAGCACCGCAATCCTGTATTAAGCAAATACGGAAGGTGAGAAGATGGATGGATGAACAGGCTGAGCAAAATACAGCTGAAAGTCTGAAAGTCTTTATGCAAAATACATGTAGCCTTACTTAGCTCACTACCTCACATTCATCAATCCCATTTACATAATCGATTACAGCTTCATTAAAATATATAATGTCAGTGATAAAAATGTGTTTCTGCTACCCTGGATGTACTATAGTTTTGCATTGGAAAAAATATTTATATATATATTAACTGATTTAGTACTGGTATTCTTAATGTGTGAGAAATGTGTTATTAAAAGTAATGAGAAGATAATGAAACGGAGACTTTAAATGCATATTATGCAGGGTTAAGTAGTGAATTACGACACATATGAATCAAACTGCTGACAGTATGAGCAACAATAGTATTTTTACAGATGAACACCCTTACATTAAAAGATCATGACTTTCATGTTTATCCATCATCAGATAATTAAATTAATTACTACACATTATAATAACTCATATTTTTATATGAAAATAATGCAATTATGCAATTGGAATTGAATTGAACATAACCAAGAATTATAGGATACAATTTATTATTGCAATTGGGCACCATTTATTGTAAATTATACTAAAAGGCACATTCGTTCAAACCCTTCTTTATGGGGTTCTTAAAAATAAAAGTAAACACTGGCAAAACTGACATAATATGTTAACACATTTCGAGTTATATTAAGAGGCTAACGTCATTCCTAACGTGTAAATTTTTGAAGGCATTATTTTAGTATAAAAGCAAACACACAATGGCTAATTTGTTAGGTACACCAGCCTGTTAGCGCAAACAGCCTGCTTCTACAAACAGAATCCTGTTGCTGCAGCTGAATGCATATAGCACACAGACTGGGACAACAGGTTCGATTATTATTTGACTAAGCATTAGAATGGCTACGATGCATGATGTAAGTGATATCGAATGTGGAGTGATGCTGCTGCTAGATGGAGTGATTCCAGTAACTCAGAAACAGTTACGCTCCTTTGACTTTGGCGCACCGAGTGCAGTTTACAGAGAATGATGGAAAAAGCAAAAAAAAAAGTTCAGTCAGTGACAGTTCTGTCGGTGAAAACACCTCATTAATGAGAGATCACAGAAAAACGGGCAGACTACTCAAAGCTAACAGAGAGGCCACAAAAATGACAGCACAGTACAACAACCGTGTGCAGAATGGCTTCTCTGAATGGACAACTTGTCTGGCCTTGAAGCAATTCTGTAGGCAAAAGTGGATCTTACCCGGTGCAACCTAGGTGTACGTAATGTAGTGGCCACTGAGTGAATGCCTATACTGCAGTGTAAGATATTTTCAGTATAATTTGTCACATTTAGGATGGCAGGTTGAGGCAGCTCAGTCTCCTGCTCTTGGCTATTTTCTGCATGACAAGCCAGTAAAAATATATTCCGTATAATCTAATGCTGCTTCCTGACACAGCAGGTGCAAACTCTTACCATGAGCTTTCATTGCTGATGACTCATTAAAAGGCCTAATTTAATTAGTACAACTTCCTGCAGCATTTTATCAGATAATCCCTTAGTTATTATAGTTTTATTCTGTTGGGCATGGAATAATTTATTGTTTTATAATTATTTTCAAATGATGCATTAATAATTTTAATAAAATTGTTCATCTTGATGAAAACTGACCAAAGATAGTAACAAGCAAGACAGTTAAATTCTGCTTTCATGTCCTGATACTGTCCCCATGAGAATAAATGCAGAGATGTTTGGGTGAAGGATGAAGTCTCTCCTTTCTGCAAGATACGTGAACAAGTCAAATTCTGACAAGCAGGTCTAGTTAAATGACTTAGAACATCAGTATTTGTTAGCCTTACATTCAGAGAGTGTATTAATTAGCAACAAGAAAGGCATATTTATTAGGTATTGTAAAAACAAAGCAAATCCCAAATAATAAGATAAAGCATATATTTTTCATAAGAGCAATCAGGCACACCACATCTGTAAATATGAATATTATCATATGATCATTTTTTTATTGCTGATCAAACACTTTGTCTAACAAGCTATTGTATGTTATCTAATGGGATAGTACAGTATTGGTCAGTAGTTCTCAACCTTTTTACACCGCAACCCAATTTTTACTATGCCAGCTCAGTTGTGACCCTTTATCAAGTATAGGTCTAAATTAATGCTATGATCAAGAATGCAGTGCACTCTGCAATTTACGCCAATCAATGCCTATCAAACAAATCTAATTGTATGTGCCAGTGAATTTTACATTAATCATCTGTGGTTTGACTTGGATTGGTTGAATGTTCGCTAAGCATTTGCAGACCCATGACCTGTTTATATAGGTTGATTCTAGGATTGGGGCTGGGAAATCTGATCGTGGATCAGCATAGGAGTTTGCTGGTTTAAAAATGCTTACATTTTCAACTCTGCCTTGCGACCCTTTTAGAACTTGCTGCGACCCAAATTTGGGTTGTGACCCACAAATTGAGAATCTCTGGTATAGGTTACATCATGGGCTAAGATACTCGGCTAAATAAGCCAGTACTCTTGCCAGAAGTCTATACACCTTGCTGGCTTTAATAGCAAATAATCATATAAAACATTTTAAAAGTGTAACGCATGGTGTTCTATACACGCTATCTGATATATTCTATACTGAGTATCCACTGTCTCTCGAAAGAGTAATAGCTTCGGTTAAACCAATGACACAGGTGAACATGTTTTCTTTCAGAAAGGCAGCAGAATTTTTAAAATCAGGACCATTTTAAATATTCTGTGGTAGGGTGTCTTTCACCATACTGAGCATTCGCTTTGAAACTATTGGGTTTCTGTGTATGATTTCTTCCTAATCTATCAGTTTTGGATCTAGCAATTTTTCTCTAGTGTTCTAATGACATTCTGCTTATGTTTAGATTATGGATTTTGGATTAAGGTTGGGATTTGGTTTCCTTTGTTTACCGTTGCCCCCGCTCCAAGATCCGCTTCCTGTGCATTAGAGTCCTGTATTATTTTTTTGGGCTATGGTTTCATGATAAACTGCTCTCCCACAACTGGGCTCTCTCTCATCAAAACATCACACCCTTCAGTCAGTGCGGATTCAAAGCTAAAAGCTTACACATCAGGACTGATGAAACAAGTGAAGATGCTGAGGCAGTCGGGACATTGCTTGTAACAGAAACATTGAATACCAAAATGGACAAATATTATCCACTGAGACAGATGCATCATTGCCAGGTATGCTCTTCAACTGAAGCAGACTGATCCTCTAATTCCCTAGTCAGTTTAAAGAAAAAAATGTTAAATTAAAACCGGGCCAAATCTATATTGAATACCTTTCATTATTGGTTCAACTGGGACATGAGTCGACATTATGTGAAGGCAGGATTTTCAAAGAAGCCTTTCTTTCTATCCACCTTACAGCCCTGTCGTCAGTAGCTCCCATTTAAGCAACGTATTGTAAGCAGCCAGCAATCAAAGGAGGCACATGGAATTACAAAGGTGTCGGATCGACAAAGCTGTTAAAGTTACATTTCCACCGCTAAGGCCGTTAGCTGTTAGCCACACACTGTTGCCCACATGCTCACACCAAAGTAAATCTTTTTTAAAAAGTTTAATGCACCAAAAAAAGGATTTCAGTAAAGATATAATTTCCGAAGTGATAGCACATGTTGCAGATCTTAGCTTTCAGTAGACCTCTGTTTCATCTGAAAAGAGGACTGTCAGGAACTGTCAAAGTAATCCTTCAACTGATAGGTAAAGGTAGAAGAATTTAGACAACAGGTCACATTTGCTGCAAAGCAGCTGTCAGACCCGTAGAGGCAACAAAATAATGTCTCCCAAATTGAGTATGAAAGCCTATTTTATCCAATCAGGGAACATATGGCAGAACACCCTGTATCTACAATAACATGCATGTTTCAGCATATTTCAATATACACAATGCTGCATAAGTGTTAGCCCACACTTGACACAGTCACTCTATAGCTGTTACTCTGTGAACAGAAATTGTAATATATTTTCATTCGGTCTCAGTAATTGGTATAGCTGAGGATACACTTGACATGCTTTAACATTTTATGAGCTTAACATTTTATGGACTGATTTTATAAATGGGTACTTAAGATGGACAGATTGACAGAATCTGCTGAGAACTAAATGAGTACCTATCAATCAGTCAGGTTATAGTTAACTAGAGTGAGGTGCATGATTTCCTAACACAGACTTTTTCAGCACCACCTGAGAACCATATTCATCTAGTACAGGGGTACCCAATCTTATCCGCAAAGGGCTGGTGTGTGTGCAGGTTTTCGCTGCAACTCCCTAATTGGATTACTAATTAGAGGACTGATTGGCTGAAGGGTCCTCACACCTGGGTTTGAACAGTTGACCTACAAGTTATCCCAAAAACCTGCATACACACCGGCCCTTTGCGGATAAGATTGGCCACCCCTGATCTAGTACTACTGGCATTTTTTTAACGGACTGGAAAATGAAAGCTATTCCTGTAGTTCAACCAGATCCAGCAGCACACATTCCATGATAAAAATGCACCATATACTTGTTTTGTAAGATGGGAACCAATCAAAACTTTTAATCTAATGGATTAGAAGAGGCATTTCTTTTGAATGAAAAAGTAACAAGTAAAAGGTTTTCCTGAGAGCATAACATAAACTGTATACATTACTAAATATATAACAGAATTTATTTCAGAACTGCCAGTGATTCCACTGGAAAAAAAAAAACATAAAACAGGCATGAATGCTGTCTTCATGTTTTATTAAATAGGGAGACACAAAATTACCCATAACTGTAAGACTGCACGCTGAGAAAGTTTATCGATAAAATAATCAGGTTTTATAAAATAAATGAATGGCTTTATGAAACATTTATAGGCCACACAGAAAGCAGATGGGAGCCTTTGTAACAT